ACGTAAAAGAAACTAAATGCTATGTTTTTTAGAAATCAAGACATTTGTGTATGCAGTATATAACAGAGTTGTGACATCTGGCCCTTAGGGTTTCTCTATAGCAATGGAAATTGTCAAAACATAAGCTGTCAAATATGATAATCAGGATTTTGAACTCCTTATCCTTTGCAGCCTCAGCTGATGATATGCAAATACTGTACGTCTGTAGATTATACATATTTACATATTGTTATTCTTGCTTTTACAAGAATTTTACCCAGCAGTATCTTTCAAACATGACTGAATGAGTGACTTCTAAATAAATTAATACGAGCCAGTAACAAAAGGATTATGATCCAGAATTTAATTTGAAGATTGTGCGGTAATGCAAAAGTAAACCATTGGTTCTGCTGGCTAAGGGCACCTTGATGTTTTGTCCTCTAATATCATGCTGTAAAAGTAAGATAGCATGTCACACTTCATCCAACTAGCCAGTACAGTGCTAAGTCTAAGATGGTATCGTGCTTAAAACATTTGAGTTTAGAGAAGGCTTGCTACTTGAGTAACATATTATGTAAGAGAAACTAAAGTGTTGTCAGAATCTGACAATGGAACTTAAAATTTGATGATACAACTTAAGGCACTGATGTATTCAATTATAAAGTATACAAACTATACAAACTATGGTGCCTTCCAGATTTAATAATTCTCCCACAACAAAAAGCATTGTTCAGTATAACATAAAGATCAACAGATTAGATTGTTCTTTACTTTAAAAAAAATAAAAAATGTTATATTATAATCTTAGTAGCTGTGCACAGAAAATAATGAAATTAGATTGTAAAAGCACAGATGCACACAATATTTTGTTAATATTTTGTAAATCCTCCTCTGGCATGGATAATAAGAGACACATTCTGTAGTATGCTATGAATTTCTGACACTTCTGAAAGGGGAATTTTGACCATTCCTCCAGGCAGAATTGTTCTTGTTTCTTCTGGTTTCGTTAAATGCCTTCTTTAGTTTGAATCGCAAATGTTCAATTGGATTGATCAAGACACTCAGTCAGGATTATGGATTTCATGTGTAATTAGCTGATAAAATGTCAATTTGGAAGTATCTTTTGGACGATTGTTATGCTGGTTGGAATGTCCATCTTCTTGGCAGAGGAAACCAGGTGTGTGGCCAAAATGTCCAGGTGCAGTCTATGCTGGAGTTCTCCCCATCTTAACAGTGCAAAGTAACACATGCAACATAATTCAACCCCACCCCATATTTCACACTGGGCATGAAGATTTTTTCCATCATGAGACTCATTTTTGTAACCCTGATGGGCACGTCTAAAATCCACAATTTTCATTTCATCTGACCAGAAGACATGGTGTCAATTGTAATTTAGATGTAGTCTGACAAATGTGAAATACATCTTTTTGTGGTAGATCCTCAGTAAATTGGTAGTACCACTGTTAATTTAGAAATGTGCAGCAATGTATGTCCTTGTACATGTAAGCATGTTTTAAGAATGACAGACCTTTGTCGAATAGTACTGTAAAACATGCAAGCTTCATGTAGTGCTTACCATAAGGAGAGAACATGCTGTATGCTGCAGGGGTGCCCTGGAGTGTACTTCAGCCTAATTCTTGACATGCAATTTAAGACTGAAGAGGCCAGTCTCTCAACCTATTCTACACATCCTAAATCAATTTCTGCAAAAAAAAATCTATTCATAATTCATATTGAAACAGATATCACCCAAATACGTAGGGGAAAAGACACTCATATTTTGTTTTTTTTCTAACTATGTGAAAAATAGGAAGGATTCCATGCTAGTTCAACCAGACAGGAAGAGGGTCAACCTTTTTAAAACCTACAGGTATCATTTTTAGTGTAATTGGACTTATAGTAATTGGGGACAACAAGCTTAGTTCTTGAATCCAATGATTTTGAACCTCTCTTGACATGTAGTCATTTGTAAAAAAATGCACTATGTGCTCTTTTTGTGTCCTGTCTTAATATAAAACTGACTATATGGTGATTTACTAAAAGAAAGAAAAGATCTTACTAAAAGAAACACATTACTAAAGAAAAACACTACAAGCCTGTCAGTTTGTATTGTAAAGAATTAACATTGTCTTCAGGGGGAAGGGAAAACTTTAAGTTTGAGTACAATAAAAATCAAATATAAAAGGAGCAAAGCCTTGTCTTACTAGGTCTACCGTTGTCAAAAATGATCAAATAAATAAACGTTTCTATTCCAGCCAAAAACCAAGATGTCAAAATCAGTCTTGCGATTGAAATGACTAGAGAGAAACAAACAGTCTGGTTCTGGCTCCTGCTGTGTAAGGGTATTAAACCTACATGATGTATGACAAAGGCAATGGCAATTAAACCGAACCCAATGGCTCTGCTGACTCAAGAAAACCTAGAATACTGAAATCAGCTGAGGCTCTAGCAGCAGCAGCAAAATATCACCAGTGGGAAGAGAGTGTACCGGATTTCTTTTAAATGTTAAGCTTTTCCACAAAGGTTATGCCATATGCATTCTGTGTTTCTTCTGTTGTAACACCTTCAGACTTGCAGATAATTAGTGTATCATCAAAAGCGAAGCAATGCATTACTATAACCATCTGCACAAAAGGAGTCCCACTACAGTCATGACTACTAATTTAAACAGGCCCTGTGTTACAAACGTTCATTCAAAGCTGTTAGAGCTATCAATGTTAGTAAGTTGACTTAAGGAAGGAATCTTAAGACAGGTGTATTTTGTTCCATGTATTGTATGTTTTAACTATAACAAACTTATAAAAAAGGAAAAAACAGTATTTGCCTTCTTCCACAAAAACTTAACCTAATCAGAAAATACACATATGATACATACACATAAACATACATATATAATATGTAGGTATATCTTGTGATATAACTCAATTTATATCCTCCTAGTAATATGAATATTAAAAAATCAGCCACATTTTTCCTTTCAATCATTTGAAAAATGTAAGAAGTAATAAATTATTACTAAGTGAATAAATATCTCCCAGTGCAAGCTCTAATATGGATATGCATTATTGAGAGATCCATACCAATACTTACAGCAACAGCTAAATACTACCCTAGGAAACAAGCACATTGTATACAAGACACATGACACATACTGTAAGTATTAGAGTTTCTGTTAAAATGCCAACATGGATACCAATCCCATCAGACATGACTGGGATTTCAGAGAATTCAGATGGTAAAAAAGCTGTCAGAGAATGCTTCCAAAAGTTTGTTTGTACAGTATGCTGTTTATACATTGTTAAGCACAGACTGGAATTATTTTTTCTAAACAAACATAAGAGTAGATTTAAAACATGAAAGGAAAGGAAAAGATGGGCGTGTTGAAATAAAAAAATAATAGTGTTTTAGACCTTGCAGCCAGCACAATGCTCTAGTGTGAACTGCAGTAAATCTAGCAAATAATCTGGGGCTGTAATTACTCCCTCTTGGTTTGGGGTATTTTTTCTTGGATTTGCAGCTTGTTGATGTGCTTTGGACAAGCACAGTCTAAGGCATTTTGATTTGTTTTAATATTCTTGTGTTATGATAGCATTTTTTTATTCTGTTTTCCTACTATATATTTTTCTATTATTTTGTCTTATATGCCTTATATACCCACTACCTCTCAGTACTTTGATTATTGGACTTAAATCACATCATTTGGGCTTTATAACCTCTTGGTCATGTGCTAGAAAACTGCAGGAGAAACAGGACGAGAGGGATAAAGAAGACTCTGTGAACAGCTCTTCTGCTGTACAGGAAATAGAAGAACACCACATCCTAGGTGGAGACATACAGTAAGTGTTATTATTTTCTGTGTTCTGTTAATTGTTCCCTCTAGTCAGTAGTAATTAAAACATTGTTTTACTTATTCTTACCTGAGCCCATTGTTCTCTCTTGAACCCACATGAAAAAAATATCCAAACCAGTTACATTTTAATTTTACCCCTAATTTATCCACCAACAGGAACTTATTTTTGGACTGTTCTGTAATGCCACTTCTTGGATGTTGCTGTGTAAGTACAGTCATGTTATACATTTACATATTTACCAAATATGTAACACAGCTGCCATGCCTTCTTTTACAATTAAAATCAAATTTCTGGCTAGCCGTATCCTGGGGGATTTAAATGCGACAGTTGCTCAGACAACATGTTGCAGAGACAACTGCCCGGGTCGTCATCCCTCCTCTAGAGGGCGCTCCTACCATTTCCTGCATTGTTCTTAGTTTAGTAGTTTCACCTGTGTCTCATTCCCTTTGCCTTATTTAAGCCCGGTATCTCTGTTGATCCGGGCTCAGCTTTGGAAGATGGATGCCCGGAACCCCGCCTACCACCGGGCACAGGAGTGGCCCAATGGCATAGGCTTCATCACAGCGTCCTAACCTCTGAGTCCAGGGCCCATTATGGTTTTACCCTTCCGTGTTCCTACTTCCCTGTTCCTGTGTTTGTCTCGGATGGACCTCCTGGCAATGGACTTTGGACTGAGCTTACTATCCCTTTGGACCCTATCGGATTTGTCGCCTCGGCCTTTCCCTGTGCACCGGATCTCCCCTGCCTGTTGACCCGACCTAACTTCGCTGTGCCTCCCCCGGATTATAACTTCCGGATTATACCGTCAGGCATAGGGTCTTTTACAACGCATTTCCACAACAACAGTAACAAAGGCAGCTGTTTTAATTTGAGGAGTGCTGGTACTTACCTAAAAAAGCAGAGGAATTACAACACTACCACAGGATTAAAGCATTTTCCCTAGTATATTATTTTTATCTAGTGTACTGCCTTCCATTTTCACGGCAAAATAATTAGACATAAATATTATACACTCATTCATTTATATAAAAATTAAAGATGTACTTAAGAGCCTGAATTATTTATGTTATATGTTATAAGTTGTTATACAGTACAGTATGTTATACTGTATGTAGTAAGATATATTTTATCTTAAAATAATTCCCAAAACAGCAGAAACAATCTTACCTCAACCAGAACAAAACAGTAGATAAGGGTACGGCTTTTCTGAACCTCCCTTTGCAGTGGCATCCTCTTTATATTGTTATCACCTACACAAAGAGAAGACACAATAGTAAAAACCTGGTATTTATATTGAAAAAATGAACCATGTGAAACATCCATCCCTTTTCTAACCGCGACATCCAGTTCAAGGTGGTGGGGGACCGGAGCCTGTGCTGGCAAGCAGCAGGCTCATGGCAGAGTACAGCAAGTCCACAAAAGGGCAGACATTCAGACACACAGCGCACTCACACCAGGGCCAGTCTTCCCAGAAGCCACCTCACCCACCAGTGTGTCTTTGGACCGTGGGAGGAAACGTGAACACAAATTCCAAGGAGAGAGCACCACAGGTCCAGAATTTAAACCACAGCCCCAAGTGCTGTAAGGCCATAAGGCTAACCACTGCACCACTGTGCAAATAATAAAATAATAATAACACGTATGATTTTCAGGCTTTCAGGCTTCTGGTCTTTTAAGCCTTACGTATGGCAATGGCCATACAGTTTTCAGATACAGTATATAATGATCAGAGATGACAGGCACAGCAGGACATGTCCACCTGGGCAGTCCATCTAAAATCCCGGACTAAGAAAAGAGGGTAACACACAATGCATTCACCCTTCAGAAAGCAAGTTTTAAAACTGACAAAGTGACAACATAGCAGACAAATATTAGTCCCTGCTATGTGTGTATGTGGTAATCTGAGATACATTTTACTCTCTCAATACAGAATAATGCAGTATGTAACAAATAACACAGTTTTACTTTTTTACAAACTAAAATTTTTGAAAACAGAAACTTCAGATTATATGGTTGTATGAAAGCAGAAGACAGATTGCCCTGAGTGATTTTCCCCATCTCTAGTTATGTGGGTGTTTGGAGATTTTACAGTCACTGGGCACAGCTATGAGCTGGCTTTTTTTCAACAAGACTGTGATGACAATTCACCACTAGGTGGACTCTTCTTCTTGCGTCATTTTTTTTTCCTGCTGAAGCCTCAAGTGAATTATTTTGTTATACTTTTAATTCCACTTCATTTTGCATTAGGGAATGTATTTATGAACTAAACATCAGCAAATTGGTTTTGCATGCGCAAAGCAAGTATTTTAATAAGAACAGCAGTTACTGCATTATATAAATGCCATTCAGTTCTTCAAAGCTGCCACCAGATGGCAAACACTGCAATGCTCTTAATTCAAGGTACAAATTAAGATCCAGCAGCACACAAAAACTGGCACAGTGAAGCAACCATACAGTAATCATAATAATGAAATAACGATGTCAAACACGCTCTGCAGCTTTAATGAAAATACTGACGTTAAAGTGGAACATTTAGTATTGCGGATGATGGGAATGTTTTTAAATAAAATGTATTTTTAGACAAAATATAGTATCCATAAACATAATTTCAGTTAAATGCTGCATCTGTTAGCTACTGTGGTACTGAAATACCTTTGCTTCTACTCAGCTACAGTATATCTACACTTAAAATCACCTTGAACTGTTATTTAAAATTGCCATCTGGGGTTAAATGCTATTTATTCATAATCCTGTGGTTATTCCATCTCAGTGTCAAATATTACTAGACAAGACATATCCAGTTTGACTTTATGGAAGTGCCTTAAAAACTGAGAACAGGAATCACCCAAAGTGTGGAAATATGGAACAAGCAACTCAGCCATATTGTTGAAGCCAATACCCCAGCTTCTTTCAAGAAGCCACTGAATGAGATTCTCAGATTAACCACTAACAAATGCACCAGATGAGATGAATGACCTCTTGTTTGTCATTTTTCTTTACTCTTATCTTCTTATGAATGGCTCTGCTAAATCCACTTATAGTACCTGTAGTTTTAAATGGGCCTTTGTGCTAATCAGTTGGTAAAGACTATGTTCATAGAAGAAGAACCCACGATACTCTATACCTCTCCAGAACCAATGTTGGAGGTGCCTGCTGTACACAAGTCAAAGGATATTTTGAGGTCCAGTAAATAATTTACAGTACTTTCTATTTTGGTGCAAGGACTATAGTGAACATTATATAAATATTATAAAAACATTCCTTTTTAATTAATTTAATTTAGTTTTTTGTAGTAATTTAATTTATCTGTGAAAGTCAAGTGCTGTATAAACTATACTCACTCGTTTTGTAAAACAAAGCTTTTGAGTTCATAATTTTTTTTATTATTGTTGTTCACTTTGGATGAAAGAAGGTTAATCTTTTTTCAGGTCAAGGAGGAAAATATAAATTTAGGCCATACGTCTTTTTCCAGGGGGACTGAAGCAACCAGGCCATTTTCCTCCTTTGTGTCTATTCTAAGAAGGTCTTCATATGTGTTGCAAAATTACATTGAGTGTGGAAAATTACAACCAGCCTGAAATATCCCTTAATTTGTGGTGCTTGAATATTTTGCATAATATATTTAAGAAACTAATTAAAATCACACACGGTGATTTTAAAAATAGCACTTTTCGCCTTAGTATTAAAATGAAATTTTCATTTGAAAATGTATTACTGCTATCACAAAAATATAATTAAATCATTTTTTAAATACAATTTTGTTTCTGTATTTTATAAAATACAGAAAAGAAAAGGGACTAAAGACTGGCATGGTGACATATTGGTTAACATTGCTGCCTCACGGTAAAGGGCCCTGGGTTCAATTCTGGACCTGAGCTGCTATCTGCAAGGAGTTTGTATGTTCTCCCTGTTTTCATGTGTATTTTCTCCAGGTGCTCCAGTTTCCTTCCACAATCTAAAGACATACTGGTAGGTTAAATGGTTTCTAGGAAAACTGGCCCTGGTGTGAGTGTGTGCCTCTCTGTGTCTGTGTGTGCCCTGTGATAGACTGGTGTCCTGTCCAGGGTGTACCCTGCCTTGCACCCATTGCTTGCTGTAATAGGCTCTGACTCCCCCATGACCTTGAATTGAAAGAATACTTTAGAAAATGGATGAATGGAAAAAGGAATAAACCAAGCAAAAACAGGCCCCAAAACTTTTTGGGGAGAGGCTGTTGCAATTATGCTCCCTGTCGGTGCCTGCCCTAGATTGACAGAAGACAGACATATTGTAAAGAAAGTTCTAATATAGTATATTTGTAACTATTTAAGGAAAAGGAAAAGGTTTGGGTTCATGTTCAGAGTTGTATACAGTATATTGTCCACTTGCTTAGTTCTATGGCATTCTGTGCAATCTACTGCACAGTATTATTATTATTATTATTATTATTATTATTATTATTATTATTATTATTGTCATTGTAGTGTAATAGAAGATGATCGTTTTCTTCACTGAGCAGAGAACACTCTCTTTATTTATCTACCGTACAGATTGATAAGTAAAGTGCATATGTGAAATGTCCACAAATACTCGTCAGGGATCAATCAGAGAATGTCCGTCAACACACCAGGGCTCTCACAGTGTGCAGGTGCAAACTGTAATGTTGTAGATAGAATGACTTCTCATTTGAATCACCCAAAAAACACTTGGCACCTACCTAGCAAACACTCCACAAATGTATGTATTATGGCTTGTGCTGTACCATAGTAATAACAGATACTGTGGCATCTACAGTATGTAGATACATTCCTATCATTGTATATCAGTCCATCAATCCTGGATACATTGTTTGACACTGGTCATCTTGGACTGATGCACAAATCGCATATGTCTATGCATTATTTTCAAAAGCTTTCACACAATTCATCCAGCCTTTTAAGTGTTATAAAGGTCACACCATGTTGTGCAGTCAGTCTCCTATGAATTCCACATGGTTTGACACCTTCAATGAAAACAAATCTGTTGATGGCTTGCTTCTCATTTAAGGTACATTCTTGTGCAGGCCATCTTTACAGAACAACTGCACTTAATAGGGAAGATGGATACTAAGTGTTCATCAAATGACTCATAAGAGTCACATCCAAACCACACATAATACAACAGCATTACACCAATATACACGTTTTGATAGTGAACCTCACTTCAGCTTCTTACTCGCAAATGTGAATGCACTAACTCTAGTCACAGGGATAAAAAAGTGAGAGTTGGAGTAAAAATGCACAACTTGTATGATTTAAAATTTGTATGTACTAAATGTATACTGGCAGAACATGCTGCAGCATCCTTGCAGATAAAACTAAATCAAAACCCTCACATGAAATTGTTCATCTACTGTAGCTGTTTATTGCCATCAGTAGTTCTTGTTGTCATTAGCCCTTCTTCAAGGTCCATAGGCATAGCATAGAAGGAATAAGGGACACATGCATTATTCTGATTTTCTTTTAGGCTGCCTCTTGCAATTTGCTTGACAGCTATTCATTATCTCGACAAGACGTTCATTCTTACTAATTGAACATGTTGTTCTTTCTATCTTTCCTTTGAGACTGCTGAAAACTGTTGATTTCACTAAATTGTTATTATTAATAAAAATTATAAAAAAACACTTTAAGCGTAATTAACATTTGATTTAGTCAATGTACTTTGACTGTTAATGCATTAGAAAAACATGAATTAATACAATTCTGTTTTCCATAATGATTAATCTTTTCTACAGTGTTTGACTGTTTTAACATTACTGAAAGTACAAGAAAATTATTTCTTAAACTCATTTTCATAATGCACTAGAGTGGATGAAGAACATTTTCATCATAAAAAAACTTTGCTTTATAAAATGTGAAGTTAGGTAAAACATTATTAAATGTCATTAATTTCAGTTTTTTTCTGTAGTGACAGTAAAATACATGAAACAAACTCAACTACAACATTCATATTACTCTTTTCAGGAGACTTGGAAATGAACTACTGTATAAATGAATATATGAATATGAACTATATTCAATTCAGAATGTTGCACTCTTACAGTAGATGTACATGTACTTGACAAGGTGACATCTGATATTTGCTCAAGTGAAAAATTATAATTGTACTATGGCAAAACAACTATTTTCCATGATTGACCAATTTTTGTCTTTTAAATCAGTTTTAAAGGACATTCAATGCCATAATCAATTGATTACTACTGTATGTGTGTTACTTGTTGATCAGTATACCTACTGTATATTACCAGCATATTGTCAGAGTATTTTAAACACTGTATCATTATAGATTAACTTTTTTCACTTCAAAATAGAAGTGAAAACATAACCTCAAATTTAGTTGGTTCCATAATCTAGTCCATGCTCATTATATGAATTAAAACAGAAAATCAAATTATTCTAAAAACAGACATAAATCTTAAAAGGTAATAGAATTATGTGTTAGAAACCAAGTTTAATCATGTAAATCCCTCTTTCCAAAGTACATTTGGATTGTGTTGAAGTTATTTTTAGTTATACCTAAGATTAGATGACATAATGAAACTACAGCATTCTTCTTGTTAAGAAGATTTTTGTTTTAATCAAGTATTCTGTTTTTCACTTCCTTAAAAGGAGTCATAGTATTACAGTAAAACGACCTCCTATTTTTACTGTGTGTAAATGATCTGTAGTGTACAAGTTCACTGTTTTAAGAACTTGAGCTCTCCCATGTAAACCTTCCTACACTGAATTTGGAATTAAGATGCTTCTTCATTTCACAGGAACGTAATCCAAGTCAGAAACGCAATCTAAACGTGACAATTCCAGAACACAGTTGTACAATAGTTTAAATAGTAAATACAATAGTAAAAATAATACAGAACAATCACATGATCGTGCTAAATTATTCAAGGCACGTATTATCAATGAAAGTAAAAGACATTCTAAATAAGAAGAAGGGTTAAAAACGTGAGGATTCCAGATTTAATCATTAATACTTATTAAAAGTTAAGTATTCTATTGTAAACACAGAATAAATAAACCAGCTAAAACAATTAGAGTAAGTTTTACGGTAGACATTATTATTACAGACAGTAATGTACTACAGTACATGTACTATGTCTCAAACGGTTTGAATCGCTGTATTAAAACCACAGTATTAACAACGAATATGGAATTATTTAAGTACATTCTTTTATCAACACACTATAGTTTATGATTTCTTATGTTTTTAGATTGAGAATTTCTTTCTCCATCCTGACTTCTTCCTCTTTTTTGATTGTCATTTCCACCTACAGTACTGTACAGTAGGTACAGTACGTCCTTGAAGTAGTTAAAACCTCTCAAGGCAGGAAACCGTAGTTTTTCTTCAGTGGTGCATTGTAGTCTTTTTTCATTCGCAGCACGTACTGTATGTACCACAAATACCATATTTTGCAGACAATTCCCTTTAGTAACACAAACTCCGCAAGGCTGTATTTTGTTAACGTGATGATAAAACAATGTAAACTACAAAAGAAGTCCTACCTTGGACAGCGCCTGCAGTTTCGGTTCACAGCGGTTGCAGAAAGGTATGCACGCATTTAAGGGAACTAATTTTTTTTCTATTTTTTCGATCTCTTTTCCTGAACTCTTTTTACTTGCAAATAACTTCTTCTTTTTAAAAGTTATTGTTCCTTCAACTAATGTTTAGCTGCTTTTAGGCGACTTTGTTTGCCTGTATTCATTTAATTACTGTACTTCATACTTCGCGTAGACTATGCAGGAACGCGCAGGCGCTGTTGTGAGTGTCCTTTTCAGTGTAATTTGGCCCTGGAAGTGGAGTCACTATAGAGTTACTCCCCTTTTTCCTTTTACTGTACAGAATAGATATCCCTTTGGGAGTTAAAAGGTGCCTTAGAAGTAAAGCATTGGATTTTATATTAAAAATGACTAGGCAGTTCAGCACATACTGTATGCAGTACATAAAGTTAGGAAAACAACTCAGAGTTAATACGTTCGAAAATATGTAAAAACCTGTTTTGTTGCACTGAAGGAGAAGCCCTGTGTTTGTTTGACAAACTATATCTAAAAAACATACCAGGATCATCAGATTTTGGAAAACAATTAATGAGTTTCTCAAATTAAATCTGAAACTTTTGCAAATGTGTTTTCATGGAGTCAAGTTTGAAATTAGCCTTAATGAGCGTGGACTTATTGCCAGCTCTGGCTAGCGATTTTGTAGATTTTTCAAAGGACACTTAGAAAAATGTGCAACCTTTTCAAGCGCAATTCACTAAGTGTGTTCTCATAAAATGAAATGTGATTCCCAGAGCTGTGCTGCCCTTTATATGGGCTAATAAGGTGTGATATATTCATATTTACAATGTGGTGAATATTGCATTGATAAGGTACTTATTAAAAGAAAATAAATCTGAATCAGCTTACACTCCATATATTGTAGGAGTCAATTTAATTTACATAGTAGTCTCCAGATAATAAAAATTAATGGAATATAGCTGCAATATGTACAGTACAAGTATTTACCCCTCTGCCCAGTCTGTCATTTACAGTACATGAAGTTTACATAAGCTTTCAATCAATGTTTTAATTCTTGTCAACTTTAAATATTATTTATGAGGGTCACAGTACAGTATAGACATTATAATGCTAAAAGTATATTCAGTATATAGTATATAGATGCAATTAATGGATTTGCATCTACAGTATAGTAAAATTAACAGTTCTCTAGAATTCTTTCTTGCTCTTATGTTCATTGGTGATACAGTATATATTCAACATTTCTACCAACACAGCTGGGAAAAGCTGTATGATTCCCTGTTATCTGTCAGTACCAGGCACTGCAGTTTTGTTTGCCACTATTAACATTTTGTTTCAATATAATTTATTATGGCTATTAGAAAGCACTGCTTAATGTTTAGGAGATTGTAAATAATATTTTTCCTGAATTTAACCTTAATTCAGTGCTCTTGGTTTCTATTTCCCTCAGTGCAAGACACACTTAGGATAAAAATTAAAATATACCTGTGGGATTCAAATTAATTACCATCTTGATTAATATCTCAAATGAATTCAACCTTAGCAAAGTAGTTTAAGAAGACTGAAAAATCACCTTTTTGGTATACTATTTACATGTATTAGTAATTATACCTACTGTATTTGATTCAATGCATTAAAATAATATGAAACATCTTGTTAATAATGGAACTAAATACTTTGGTATTTAATGCATCATTTGATAATACTTGAAACTGATGACAAATGATTAAAAATACCTTGTATTTTTGTAGAACTGTTAATCCCACAATTATGTAACTTCTGCTTTAGTCATGTAAATGTATGAAAGAAAACATGTCAAAAAGTTAAGGAACAGGAGATATGATTAGGGATCTGGAATAAATTTGACTAATCATTTATCTATATGATTTTCTGTCACACTATCGTTAAAGAATTAAGTTCAGACTCAATGATTTTTTTTTTACTGATCTCAGTTTGTTCCAGATGTGTAAAGGAAAAACATATATCTATAGATACTGTTGCTCATCTGTCCACAAAGATGGACATGCCTTTTCACATGAGAGGATTAGACTTATTTGCAGGATTCTGCTGCATCAATAGATATGCAATATAAATGCATCCATATAAACAGTATACTGTACATGCTTCTCAGAAGAAACTTCATAGCAAATAAACAAAAGTTGCCAGCTAGTTTAGTCTCTTTAGGCTGAATCAAACCAAAAATATCTGTAGAATAAATGATGATATACTGTACATCATGCCGAGGCTTCTGGGAAAACCGGCCCAAGGTGTGAGCGTGTCTGTCTGCCCTACAATGGACTATAATCCCATCCAGGATGTACACTGCCTTGGCCCTAATGCTTGCTGGGATAAGCTCTGACGGCCCCATGACCCTGAATTGTAGGAAGCAGTTAGAAAATGGGTGGATGGAAACATCACTCTGAATACTTTCATACTGTTAAAAAATACGAAAATAGAAGTGATTAATCGACATTCGAAATTAAAGAACCCACTTTAGGGTTGCTCTGTGTTTCTCACTACAGTGACACAACATTGCTGGTGGATAATATACTAACTATGAGGTGCTGACTTCTGGTTGTGGTAAGGCATGGTTTTCACTCTCCCTGAGGCTTTGATCACTCAGTTGAATAAATGATCATTGTACTAAGTGGATGGTTGCACTGTAGTGTTTCTTAACTTGCAGTATTAAGTGATGGCGAAGACATAAAGTTCTTTAAAATTCTCTACACATGAGAATAAGGATTGGGTTTTGCTTTAAGTTCAACTACAGGATGTGTTTAAGTTTTTCTATCCAAACTCTTAGAGTGCAAAACATTTTAAGATAAGCAACACCATAGTCATAGAAGGATGTAATTATGAAACTGGTACTCTTTCATGTTGTGATCAAATCTCTTTATTTTTTAATTCAGTAAATAAATAAAAATGTCCTTTTCGGCATTGCAAATAAACAGGCAACAAGAAACGCAAAAGATGTGAAACAAAAGTATGATTTTTTCTACATGCGATAATTCCCCAAGACTGACTTAAGAATAGTGTTATATTATCTAAAAATTAAATATCTGAGGACTTGCCACAGCGTTGTTGTTTTTGGTGGACCATGGGCTTCATAATTAAGTCTTGATAGTTTTTGTGCATGTGTTTGTGTGTGCGCGTCTCGCTTGCTGTGTGCGCGCGTATGTGTGAAAAAGCTTTAACCCAGTTCTGACGTCAGGTCGCTTGATATTTTACCTTAGCGTTATCCTGCAACACAGTTCAGTAAGTAGATATCTGTTAACGTATAGAGGAAGGGAGAGAGAACCCAGCAAAATATTAAAAACAAAAACAAATAAGCGTACTGCTTCAGGTGTGCTATTCGTGTCACATTAGCGTTAGCTAACCTTAATTGTATTGGATTTGGTATTGTTCAGAGTAGGCAGCATTTTGTACAGGCTGGTGAGCCGTAGAGAAATCGCACTCTCCACCCGTAGCGACAGTTGGGAATGTAGCTCCAGCCGTAACCGCTTGATTTTTAAAGGCAAGATCGTCTTGGATTTTCTTAACTACAGAAACCGCTTATTTCGCCCGTAATAAGACAGAGGCAAAAGATCCAACATGTCTGCGAAGGAAAGGCAGAAAGGAAAGGTGACCAAAGACAGCGTTACCTTGCTGCCTTGTTTCTATTTTGTTGAGGTAGGTGTTCTTGCATTTAAGCATCTTTGGAGAGTACAACACAATGCGTCTCCAACAAGGTTGTTGCCTATGGAATAGCAATGATAGCAGTATGGAATCAGTGTTTTATGCAGTGTGATGCATTATACCTTAGGTCTGCAGCTCTCTCAAATCAAGTGAGGTTTTTGTGGATTTAAAGGATTAACCGCTATGCACTAACTAGAGTATATTTGCATGAGAATCACGTTTAATAAAATGTCTCCATGACCACTGGTATTACGTACTGTGGCTTTCAGTACCTTGAAGCTAAATTTTTCCTGCCACCATTAAATTAATATATTAATTGAATAAATAATTAAATGAAACGTTAATACCTCCCAGTCCTGTCTGGTTTGCGTTAGCAATTGGAAAAACTTAACATTTTTTATTGAGTTCGCAGTACTTAACAAGAGCAATGTTATTGTTCAGTATCTCGTATCATTAATTCTTCAAATCCTTTAAAGGGTACAGGCAGAATCTGCATGCATAATTAGATATTAGTCCCTAGCCTAAAACAGTTTCTCGTGCTAGTTTTTCAATGGAAATGTGTCATTATAAAGACATTTGCTTTGTTAATGTGTTTGTGTTTGTGTCGGCAAAGCGTTGATCTGTTTTTTTTTAATGTTAATTTCAGGAGCATCTTAAACTAAATTGAGAATAAACGCTATGGTCATTCAGACAGTAGGCTATGTACTGTATGTGAGTGACAAATATATACATGTGCTATGTAAGCTCTAAAATGCAAATTAACCACTTTTAAAAGGCTAATTATAGCATTACATATAACTTATTACTCTAGGTTGTCAAGGGAGTATTTATAATAAGGACATGCAATATTTAGTATTTGATATGATTTATATAACATAATCCCATCATTATTGATTGGGCACAGATGTTTGTCCATAATTAGCTTCCATTCTAGATTTGATGTAGAACGGTTTTACTTTCTGTGCAAAGAAACTAATAGAAAAGAGTTGCTTTTTTTTAATACAAACGTTTTTTTTTTCAAATTGTAATTTTGTTGGAAGTTATTATTGCTCAAGAGTAAGTGTATAATGTTGATTACTTACAGCTCTATTACTGCAAGTTCATGTTAAGGCCTAACGTACTATTTTCTAAAGTTACAGTAGCTGTTTTTTAGAGAAATTCTGTGCTATTGAAGTTCATTGTTTTATTCTACTAATCATTTCAAGTGCAAATTAATCATTACTGTCATACTGCAATCAAAGTAATTTTAGTTACTAGTTTTAAAGTATAGTTCACCCATACAGAAAATCGCATCTGTAATGTCTTCAATGCAAACTCACAGCAAGAAAGGTAAAAAAGTCTTGACTGCACACTAACACTGTGACATTTCTGCATGGTTATAGGTTTAGAGCATCTCAGTAAAAAACCTTGTTTTTAGTTTTTGCTTTCAGGTTGAATTTGAAGACACTTTAAAAAACAAATAAGGTAACATTTTCCTTTTTAGGATAAAATGTAAACTTAAGAAAGGAAACAAAAAACTGTTCCAACTCATGGCCTGAAAACAATGACTGCAGCATGTGTATCAGGCTCGCATTAAAGCAAAATATATTTTCAACAGGTAAAAGAAGGCTGATGTAACACACAAAGTGCAATATGAACAGATGTGTTAGCTTACAGCTGACAATGAAATAATTGTTCACATCCATCAGTGCATATTTTATCTTATATTGATCAAAGATTGTTATAACTGTGTAAGATTTTTATTTAAATTAGCTTTTGAAAAAACTACATTGTAGCTGTTCCCCTTTTACACATGCAAATGGAAACTTATAGCTAGAATGATATACAGTAGGGGATTCTATGGCTTTTGTGGTCCACTTTATAGGCCTAGAGAACAGAGACAAAAAAGGAGAGAAATACAGGCAGAAACCCCAAATTGCCAAATAAAGAACCATTGACCCATTTAAACTATTTTGTGGTATGATATTGTATTGAAGAAAGTACCTGTTCTATTAGCATTTATTATATCCAGGCAAAAAAGAGAACATAAGATAAAGGGTTTAACAATCACTCTTTAATACAATATACAGTATGTGGCTACTTACAGTAAGATCCCAATGCTTCTAAAATGGTTCGCTATTGTAGAATCACATATAAATGCCGTATAAATGGGTGACCCTGTGCTCTGACCCCAAGCTTCTCTCCCTGTCTATGTGTCTCATGGAGAGCAAGCTGGGGCATGTGAAAAGACCAATTCCTAATGCAAGAAATTGTATATGGCCAATAAAGTGATCTTATCTAATCTTATCTTATCTTACATTTTGGACCTATTCCATTATTCTGAACAAGGGGAACTTTTCTAGTTTTGGGACATTTTAACTGTATAAAGACAAAGTTGTGGGATTCCCTCAGTGGGCATTGTACTGTACATGTGCCATTGGTTCACTATAAGATTGCAGTTCAGGTTACATCATTATTCAAGCAGAACTCTATCCTCCCCTCTGGGTGTGGGCTAATTAAAGCACAATACATGCCATCAAGACAAAAGTGATTAACACATTTCTTGAAACACAGGATTGGTTCCTTCCATGGCTGCAAATCGGGAATTCCATCACTTTCAATCTCATCTACAGGGAAAAGCATAAGAATGGAGAAAAGAATCCAAATCTCCCATCAACTTGACGTCTGCATCAAATACCAGATTCTTAATAAGGAATTGTATAAATCCTTAACAACCAGCATAACATTAGATTTAATAAACCTTACTAAAAAGTGTTGGTGGGTGAATTCTATATGCAGTACATTAAATGATGCTCCGGTTTCCTGCCACAGTCCAAAAACATACTGGTAGGTTAATTGGGTTCTGGGAAAATTGGCAATGGTGTGAGTGTGTGTGTACAGTATGTGTCTGTGCCTGTGTGTCTGCTCCTGTGATGGACTGGCGTCCCATCCAGGGTGTATCCCACCTTGCATCCATTCTTTGCTGGGATAGGCTCCAGCTCCCCTGTGACCCTGAAATGGACAAAGCAGTTAGAATTGGGTATGTAATGGGAGATACTATCAGAATGGCTGGAAAAGGGCAAGAGAAGAAGCAGACATTATCATTTCACTTTGTCTTACACTGAAATTCCTCCTTGGTGGATACACCTCAACATTAGCAATGTATGTCTCATCTTCATAGAGAGAAGCAAAGGACAGAATCAGAATTGCATGAATGACAGTTGCACAAGCTGCATGTGTTACATGTAAGGGATATAACATGGCAGATATTTATTAGTCTTTCAGTCAACAGCAAGACCATGCAATGGCATTTTGTATTTCATTGGTATACTTCCCTAATGAGTTTTATCAGTTTCCTTTTTATGTTCAATTACTATTCATTCAACTACTATTCAAATGTACAGAGGTGATGGCACAGTGGCACAGATATTAGCATTGCTGCCTTACTGGAACCCTGGGTTCAATTCCGGACCAGGAGTGCTATCTGTGTGAAGTTTGCATGCTTTCCCTGTGTTTGCCTGTGTTACCTTCCAGGTGCTCAGGTTTCCTCTCACAGTCCCAAACATTACTGGTAGCTTAATTGGCTTCTAGCAAAATTGGCCCTGGTGTGAGTGTTGTGTATGTTTGTGTCAATGTCTTTGCGTCTGGCCTGCAATAGACTGGCGTCCTGCCCAGAGTGTATCCTGCCCTGCACCCATTGCTTGTGGGGATAGCCACTGCCTCCCCACCACCCTGAATTGGATGAAGCAGTTAGAAAATGGATGGATAAGATGAGAGGCAAGGAATCGCATACCCAGATAAGTACCATTTCCATTTTATGAAGGCTTAGGCCCACCATCTCCTGTTTTTATCAAATGTGCCAGACAAAGCAAGCAGTCTTGCATTTTTACAAATGAATTATTGAAACTCTACTGTAAGCAAAGTGGCTTTCTATGTTTGTAATCATGGTATTGTGATACCTGGGGGAAAAAAAGATTATTTGAATATAAGAGTAGAATGATTTTAGATCTGGAGTTATGGAATAATGTATGAACAGTTAGGTAAACTATACATAAAGTAGGTATACAAGAACAATTGGAGTGTTAAGTTTTTTTTTTATTCTAGTGATGTTTAACACACTAACCCATCTTGGCACCATATTCTTGAAAAAACTAATTCTTCCCCATGTTTATACAAAGCACTACATAAGGGGGTTTCTGTTAAATTTTACATAACCATTCGTGATAAATACAATGATGTATAGTAGATCCATGTGAAGAAAGAAGATAATGCACAGAAGCTTTTTATGTAAAGTCTGCTGGGTTGTTCTATTATTGAGGTGGCACAGCTGACCTATATTTCTGTCCAAATACCAACACTTGGGAAATGTTAGAATAATCTTTTGTGGAGTGATCTGAAGCAAAATTTATAGAAACAGGAATGAAAATCAACTGTGTTGTGTGCTTTTTAAAATTCTTTGTAGCTTTAAAATGCAGCTTTTGCCCCTTCGTGCATAATATGGATGGACACATTACTAAAAGTGACACATTATTCTGTACAAATATGTGTGATTAAAAACAGAAAAGTGCCTTTAAGATGTGCTACATCCTGTACTCCCCAATTAGATACAATCAATTGACATTTGAGTTAGATGCCTCTGCATCAATGCAAGAAATATGATGTAATGTTATATAAAGTTACAGTGTACAGTATGCATTTTTATCTGTCGCTTAATGCTAACCTGACAATCGTGTGTGAATAAAATATGAAACAGTCATGTTCAGTGTTACACTTTGTCACTAATAGCAATTGCAGAGTATTTTAATGACACTTGTCCATTTGATAAAGAATGCTTAGCAATTGTTATTCAAAGACATTCTTAAAATTCTTTGCTTCCCACTATGAGTGAGTGACAGGACTCAGTTAGCAATAATTGGGTAAAAGTAAAATGTTTCTCCTGAATTTTGGAAAATGCCATGATGTTTACTAATTGTGACTACTCATTTCCATTTTGAAAATTCATTAATGAAATACTGGGAATATACTGAATCTGAAAAAAGTCACCATTCGAAACCTTTACAGTGTCACAGTGGCAAAATAATATTACAATTGACAAGTGAATTTAATAGTGCTAAAAGGTACACAGCGGAATTCTGTTTTATCTGTCATATAAGATGTACTGCACAGAGTACATTCTGTTTATTTCAAAAGCATAGCAAATTGTCTTTTACTTATTAGAACAGATTTGGTCCTATAGGTTAGTAGCTGGGAAAACAGCAAAATATTATATATTCGTATTGGGTTTCCTTAAGAATGTTTCTTATTGCTAGATTTTTTACATGGAGGTGGTGAAACTTGACCATGTCTCATGAACTCAGATACAACTGCCCAATGATCTGTTCTGGGCAGAATATCCTTTTAGGATGGAAAGTTTAATTACTACTCATACGGTCCTATAAAACTTGGCTAGCTCAGCATGAGTCAATTAGAATTCTTACTTCAAGAGACCTCTCTCTGTTCCAGAAAGGCAAACACACAGTGCCGATCGATTGTGTCCTTCTTATCAGACATTCTAAAATAAATTTAGAATCATTCCATATACTGTAGAAGTTCTTGTGCCCAATGAAAGTAGTGAACAGTGAGATTAGCAGTACTCAGTTTACTGAGAATCTGACAATGATCATCGATTTTAAAATCTTGATGATCTCCCGGCCTTGAATTATTTTTCTTTTGCAGAAAACAAAGTAAGGAGCATTTAAGAAGGACCAGATACCTAGGGTTATATTTTGCTCTTCTCTCCTAAGCCTCCCAGCCCTCTCCAGAATATAAGAATAAATTCTGCTGCTACTAAGAAAGAAAAAATGTAATATCTAGCATCAGCTATATTGTCTCTCGGGAAACAAGGTACTTCAACCACTTTAAGATAATTGCCTAGATGTGCACAGGGAACTGTTAACACAATAGCAGAAAATCAGTACAGTACATAACAGAATCCACAAAATACTCTGAATAAGTAATTAGTTTTTATGTCTATTGTATATATTAATAATAGTTTTGAATTTCTAATCTCATTTAGGTACAACTAAGTGATTCCTTGGACTAATACAACTTACCAACCTGAAGAGGAAGAAATAGTTTGTTTTCATGCTTTTGCTACCTAAAAGGAAACCTAATCCTTCTTAATTGTTTTGTGTTACTAATTTACAGCTGCCAATTCTGGCCTCCTCAGTTGTCAGCCTGTATTTCCTGGAGTTGACGGATGTGTTTAAACCAGTGCGCTCTGGGTACAACTGCAATGACCGCAGTCTGAGTATGCCCTACATTGAACCCAGTCATGAAGTCATTCCATTCCTCATGCTGCTCAGCCTGGTATTTGCTGGACCTGCAGCTACGGTCAGTGGTACTCCACAACGATTAGAAATAAGAATGCGACATGAAGACTTCACTTGTATATTTGTTGTGATTTGTTTTGCTTCAATCCTAGGAATATTTGCTGAGGTGACTGAGTGTACAAAATGTTATTGTCAAGGAGGTTTCAAAGGTGAATCTGTTCTAACTGTTCAAAATATTTAAGCTTTTAGTGGAATTAAATTTAATGAAGTGTACAGCACATCCCCAGCCCAGATTTGGTTCCTTTCTCTCAGGCATAATGTCAGCTATAGGGCATACACCCTCCGTTAACAGTAGTGAATTCTGATATGCCAAAAAGCGAGTCTCTCTTCACAGGAGTATTAAATATTGCTGAGAGTCCTAGATGGTTATGTCACCACAACACTTGTAATACAATGAGTCTTGTTACAAAAGCATACATTTTTAAAAAGGTAAGTTTAAAGGCTGGGGGCCAGTTAGCTGTGTTTAGAGACCAGTCATCCATCCTCAGCTGCTTCCATGGCAACAATTTGGTAACCCATTCTGTTCAATTTCTTAATCCGTAAAACTGTTGCATTAATTATTATCCTATTATAGAAGCATTAACACCCTTCTGTAGTTTTTCTAGTGCCATTTGTATGTTTCCAGCATTTTTCTTCTGATCTAAGCTAAAGGAAACTTTTTGTAACATAATGCACAGTATACAGTACCTTATAAAATAAAGATCTATCTTGGTCATGAAATGGGCCAACAAGAAGGCTGATGGGTTTTGATGGACCACCTAATTATTTTCACACTCCAATACCTATGACACTAACACCACTCAGTGACGCAGAGCACCCATAAGTCCCATTTTATATATCCAGAACTCATACAGTTGTAATGTTATGACTCAATCTCACCAGGATTCTTGCCTGCAGAATACAACGTAGATGTGTTTTCTCCCATAGATATTGTAAAATGATAGTGTTGTCAGATAAATTCAGGTGTCACTTAGTAAAGACACGGCATACACTGACAAAAGAAAAAAAGAAACTACAAAAGACTTGCTGAAATCTCCTGGTGTCAGGAGTGTAACATGTCTACTTTACAAATCACATTTTGAGACTTCTGATGGAGCAACATTAACATCAGTGCAACCACTTAATCAATAAGCTCAAGACTGGTCTTCCCCATATGTCAAGGGTCACTAAAGAAACCACTAAAGATGTTCAGCATAAATCTTGGACCATTAAGATTATGATCCAGCTGTTCAATGCATTTGAGTACCTGTGGGATGAGATTGGTAGGTTTGTGTGTCAGTATCAACTACCAGCAAATTATAAAAGGAGCACACACAGCCTATATATATTTGTAATACTGTACACTGTTTAGTTTTGTGAATGTTGCTATACTAACACTGTGTTTCAAGAGGACTCCCTTAAGCCTTTATAATTAAAGTCATATCTTTGTAATGACATATTATGTGAACACGTCTGTCATTTCACAGGACTTTCCTTTTCCCTCCCTCCATATTCTATCATGTTCAGTCTCTGGCGCATATACTGTTTTTGTTACTGTCAGCTTTAATTTTACTTCAGCCTTCCCAGGGCAAAATTTTACCATCACTTGGGGAGTCTGTTCTCTCTGCTCTGTAGGGTGATTGTTGCATTATTGATGTCCGGGCCTTTCTTTAAACTTTCAATGTAACAGTGAGATTGCTGGCCATTTGAAAATAATGGATTTTTTTCTTAAATTCTGCTTGGGTTTTTTGCAATTGTATGGCTAGGAAGTTATGTGATATGTCGTATTGCAGTTCAGTATTGCTTTAGTTCTGTTGGTTAAATCATAATTCTTGATAAAGTTATGTGAATTAGGATTTGTTTAGGTAATATACACGGTACTATTTGTTATGCTAAATGTATCGGTTATTGTATAGCCGCCCAAAATGGCTATTAAGCAGAGGAATGCTTTTATCTATATACAGTAGAGCAACACTGAGTTCTTCCCAGTCAGTTTCCCTGTCCAATGGCTTTGATCCAGATAGGATTGTTTAATCACAGCAAATCTGCATGAGCGTTCTTATAATCTGCTCATACATAAATTGAATGGGGGAAGCATGGCAGTTTGGAGGTCAGGGCTGCTGCCTCAAAACTCAGTTTTGGATTGTGGTGCATTTTGTGTGGATTTCACATGTTCCCTCCTGTGTTTTGTTCCGGAGCCCTGGTTTCTTCCAACCTTCCAAAGACCTTAATCGGTGTCTCTAAACTGCATGTGTGCGCCTGTGTGTGCTTTGCAACAAACTGGCATTCTGTCTGCAGTGAAGTCAAGCCTTGCTTCCTGATTGTCATAGGAAAGGCTCCAGATTGTCACAACACTTATCAGGAATAAGCAGCTTTCTAATAATGGATGGATAATTTGAATTATTTTTCAAAATGTTTGCCCTGTGATTACTTTAATTATTTTTAAAAATGGGTTCTGAGAACATTCAGTTTTAGTCCACTTAATGGGAACCTCATGCATGAAGTGGTAGTAACTATCAGTCATTATCTTAACCTCCTTGCAAGAACCACTTAAGGGCCTTTAAAACAATTACTTTGGGAATTCTATCTTCTTTTTTAAATGTTTGACATAAAAGCAGTCATTGCATCTCAATGTCTGTCAAATTCCATTTGAGAAAATTTTTAATCTCCTTTTTAATTGGTAATTACAACTGTTTTCTAGTTCGTTAATCAGAAAACCTTCCTTCTTACCTCCCCTATATGTTAATTTGATTAGTTTTTTGGGTGACTTTTTTATTCATTCCTGTTAGACACCTCATTAGTTGTTTTTTTTCTTCATTTGTTTCAATTAAGTTTGATTGCTTTGAATTTAATTTCCCTTGCCAATCTAACTCAATATGAGTCCCATGGTTCCATTTTCTGGCTATAATGGGTATCATGTATATCTTTATACATTTCCAGGTGTACAACCTGGAATCATTTTGACTGAGTATTTGAATGTCTTAGGTGATTTTTTCCAGATCATAAAGCAATATCTTATATCAGAGAGGTGTAGTACTTCTTTCTTTTTATTAGAATTTCTCATTTGTTAATAAAATTAATTTATCTCCATGTAATTCGGTGTCCCATGTTGATTGGGATGAGTTCTTTCAATTTGGAAAAATTTATTAATGCCAATCAAATTAAATTTTTTTTCCTTTATGTTTGTAAGTTGCCTTTTTAACCCCCACACAAAAAGTATGAATCTTTTAACCTTGGAGGTAAATCCGAGAGAGGCAAAATAAAAATCAGTAAGTGTCTTTCAGTCCCACTTTGTTGCCAGTTGTCATTCTCAATAGCATGAATCTTACCACCACTGGTAGACACTGAGCTCTAGAGAGGAGGGTCATGCTCGAGCAGTCACTAAAAGATCAAACTGGGCTCAGGTTCAGGTTGTTACAGTGCTGTAGAGTTAGCCAGTCTCGGGTGATTTCCATTATACCAGGATCACAGCAGGACAAGACCAAATATATTGCTCACTTTTTCTCCCTAGTGTGATAATAAAACTGGCACCACTGTTATAAACTTATGATATAATATTACTTTCAGTGTATGCACTGAGTGCCTTGCAAATACATTCACTTCCATATTTTATTTTTTTATTATTTTACTTTGCAGCTTTTGCTGACGGATAACTTCTTCCATGAGGTGTCTGAACATTCAGGTTTTAATGGAAAGTATACACTTTAAAAAATGTGTATACATCATTTATAAGTCAGCAAAATGGGACATCACTGGAAGGAGGTGAACTCCTTTGTAAGACTATAAAGTACTGTATGCTATGGCACTTCAATAATAATTATGATTTTGATCAAGGTTTCTTATGTGCTAGAAGCAGTTTGAAACTGGTAGTAACTCTTTGTATGTCTACAGCACATAACATACTGTATGAATTTTAATTTTTTAATTAATTTTCTGAAACGAATTACAGAAGGAGAAGAAGGCCCAATAATCTTTTTGGAATGTGGCTAGACAGCCATTGTTCTATTGTGACAAGCTTGGATAATTCGAACAGGAGAAGAATAAGTAGTTTATCTACACTTGTCACACAAAAGAGAAAACTAAGAGTCCTCTAGTGCAATCTAAACTGCAAGGCATGCAAAGAATATAAAGAAACCTAAGAAGTTGCTTCTTAACATTGAAACAAACAGCAGTGTGACAAACAGCAGGCTGTCCCTCCATGGTGGCCCAAAACCATGTCTAGGTATACAAATTAATATTTCCAAATAGAAAAATAAAAATATGGGTAATGGGTTATTTTTCTTATATGTGAAATGTGAGTCACATTTTTTGTGTAAAGAGTCATTTTTGGACATCAGAACTAGTTACACCTCATTTCTCACTAATTAAGTGCCTGACAAGCCTGAAGAAAGCAGTGTGCCTCATTTTGTGTGCAGGTGATCTTTTTAGATTCTCCTGGCAGGTAGTGAGATTGCTGAGGAAAAGTAAAAAAACTCAGAAATCATCATCCTTAAAATTTATGGGAGACTAATGAGAAAAGGTCTGTGAGGAACCAGTAAAATGTGTTTGTGGGGAATGTTTAGAGGGAGTTCTGGAATATAATTTTAAGAAAAGACATACTGGAGCTCTAGGATTCCTCTTCTTTTTTTATTTTCTTTGTTAACAGTACATGTTCACAGTCTTGAACTTTTATGACCTGTACATTGAAAACAATCAATCATCTATCCTCAGATTATGATTGGAGAAGGTATTCTTTATTGCTGCCTGTCAAGGAGAAGAAATGGGCTTGGAACAGAAGCAAATATTAACGCGGCAGGATGCAACTTCAACTCTTACATTCGGCGAGCTGTCAGGTTTGTTGGTAGGTCTTAATTTTCATATGTCATGGAAGAATTTTTGGTCTACAGTTTCAACTTCAGCATGAGGGTTGTAAATTCTGCTTCATTAGTTCTGTATTCCCTGAAACACTTTTTTTTAGTTCTGAATGTACTTCAAGGAAACACCTTTCTGAAATGGTCAGGTATATAACATACATCAATTCGTAACTTGAATATACACGCATGGCTTAAGTATTAATCCCTTTCTTTAGCCTTTATTCTTCATATGAGTTTGTGGTATATACTGTACATTAACCTTCTTTTCTCAGGCAGGCTTTGGAATACTGCCCAAAAAGTGTTTTGCTTTTCATTTACAATAGGGGTAGGAGAAAAAAGTGTATGTGTGTGACATTTAAGTTCCATGACTTAATTTCATACGCTTGGCCTTCTTTCCAGTTACAAACTTCAACATCAAGTATTCTATACTAATCTTTTAAAATATCTTTTAGTTTAGAATTCCTAAATAACTATCGGTAAAATAATAATTAATCTGTTAAAACGTATCTTATAACAGACTTTTCTTATTTCCTTCTCTGTGTTTCCTGTTAGGGGTTCATGTGTTTGGACTCTGTGCCACTGCTCTTATCACCGATATTATCCAGTTGTCAACTGGATATCATGCTCCTTATTTTCTAACTGTATGCAAACCCAACTACACCACACTGAATACATCCTGTGATGAGAGTTCATTTATCGTAGAGGACATTTGCTCAGGTGTAGACTCTGCTGTTATCACTGCTGGCAGGTAAATTAATTCCATCTGCTTTATACTGTATAACACTTTAATCTTTTGTCTACTTTAGTTATCAAGTTAAATTTTAAGTAACGAACTGAATGTCTTTTTTCTAAGAAAAATGTTGAAATTTGAAAGGGGTGTGTGTCTAAGAGTTTCAAAGAGGGAATTTTTTTTAAAGTACTCCATTTATAATCATAAAAATCTTTTTCATTATAAGATACTCCAATTTCAATAAGAAAATGTAATTACTAGTTTCCTTTTTATGTATTTGTTAAAACAGCAGTGCAGTCAAGCTAGTCTGAATCTTGCATATTTTAATACAACACCATACCTTCAAATTAATGATTTTTAAAAACTATTATGTTGAAATGAGTGCGTAAGAGTAATGTAAAACTCGGTTATGTTAGAGCAATTGTATTATTTACACCTATGAAACACAATATTGAATGTGGGTTTTCATGCTAAGTATACTTTTTTCATTCGGTTTTTAATGTTTATTGAGGAATGATTTAACAGATTATCACAAAACCCATTAACTGTAACTTTGATAATGTGTTACTGTATGTGGTTGTTTGATACACTTCAAGAGTAGGCTATTAAGAGTTTCCTCTCACGTTTTGCTCATATTTTATCTTAAATATAAAACACAAAGATAGAAACTTAATGGAAAACTGAAAATATGTTCCTACTTTTAATCAATTAAAGTAAAATTGTATTCATTATTTTACAAAAGGTTCTTTACTTCATTTTAATAGGATTTTACTGTGGCTTTGGGTTCCTTTATATTGACATGGAAAATTTAAGTGCCAATTGAGAGATAAGCAATTAAATCAAACTGAAAGATATCTCCTAGATATAGATGTAGAATCTCTTTTTCTTATGCCTGACTAATTTACAGTTTATTGTGGTTTCAATTTTATTTTATTTTGGTTGATAATGTTACTCTTTGAATGAGGTAGGATTTGTGTCTATTCCAGGTAGATCAGATTCAAGGCTTTTGAAAATGAGCTCATTGATTCTAAAATGAACCTACAGTATCAGTGGGACTAGAAAAGGGACAGATGACAAATTCATAGAGTTGACCATCTTATTTATTTTTCATTGTTCATTCTCTTATTGAGTGAGTAATAAATTAATTGAAATGGTTTTTCACACTGACTGAGCACATACAAATGACCATTATATCAAACCTAAGGATTAAAAAATATGAGATTGACAGTAGCTCAATGTATAAACATTATGTAGCTTTTTCCCAGTAGAGTACATAATGTGTTGATCCAGTCATTTGTAATAATCATTGTTTTACATATAGTATTGCATAATTTATAAATTGGATAAGTTAAACCTTAAAGCTCTGCATTGTTGCTATCATGTATGGTTTAGGGGCATCCGTGTTTGAATATATGATTAATCTTTTTTCTTTTAATCAAAGAAAACAAACTCTCATATTGTATGCATGTAATTGAATACATGTAAATACTTCATCAGACTTTACAAATGTCAAAATGTTTAATGTAATAACATATAAAATAACCCAGTATTTCAAGATGCAATAATGAGTTATTCCAGCTACTGTATGTATTTAGATTCTGAGATTCTTTAGAATTCAAAAGGAGTTATTCTAGTTTATATTTTATACATATTCAATAAAAGTGCAATGCAATGCAGTAAGGCAAACACCTGCCCACCACTTGCAACCTTTCCATTGAAACCATCTGTCCATTGAATACTTAAACTATTTTTTACAGCGACTTAAAAGAATAATCTTGGCTTGAGAATCACTAGAGACTCTCATGCAGAAGTCTGAAAAAATCCCTGTTGTAGGAATTGAAGAGAACAGTGAATGTCATTCCTTTCAGCCCACACAAATTTGAGCTCTAGTGCACTTACTGGATGAAGCATCGTGCCGTGCAGCAGTGTAGCTAAAAAAATTGCTAACACCTACACGCTTCCACGCACAAAATGCAAATTTGGATTTATTGGGAAAAAGTTTCCTGGTTTTGTCACTGTATGCAAAAAAAAATTAAATCTATCTTGGGCTGTACTTTGTGACATCAAGATTTGCGGTTGTGTATATGCTTTAAAAAAATCAAGATCGGTGCCTTAAACGGCTGATTACTTCAATCAATACAGTATGACACCAGTGTGTAGAATATTTTTGTTGAGATTCCTAGTGGCTTTCCCACCAAAGGTGCTTACATACAGCAAACAAAGATGTCTGTAGTCCAGACAACACAGGCTGAATCTAAAATATGCAATCAGTGGAATCAGTACCACCAGGGTGGGTACAACGGAGAACCTACAGTATGACTCACAGTGTGAGAGATGGCTGATGATCCTGACAGAATGTGTTCCTGAAGAAAACACGGAGAGACCCCCTTTCTCCTATTATAGGAGGATCAGAACACTAAATGCAGGTTAACTACCAATTCGTGTCCCAAAGAATGAGATGTAAAAATAATTCCATATTTCAAATTTTAAAAACAAATAACAAAAGCCCATAGTATTCAAGTCATATTAGCTGACTAGTCAAACACCACTTTCATTTCTGAAAAAAATGAAAAAGTGCATTGAAAATGTGCAATTGGAGGAAACATTTTGAACATATTTAGTGATTTATCAAAATGTACTCTCAGATTTGTATTACATCATTTAAAAAAAACATTCCTCTGCCTTTTGTATATGTTTTTTTCATTTAGTGCTTCTGCTGCATCGTCTTGTTATACAAATGACTTACAAATCCTACAGTTTATCATCACTGCAGCGCATCTTTATGTCAGTGTCAAGCAAAATAGACTTTTTTAGAATTACTGTAATGCATTGCACATCTGTAAATGCACTTTCATGGTCTCAGTAAATCTGTATACAGTTCCTGCTCATCTTCACATTTGAAGTATCATTCAAATCCATTGGTCTCTAGTCAGAAGCTGGAACATTTAAAGCAGAAGAAGAGTAATCCTGTTTTTCTTCCTTTTTAGGAAATCCTTCCCTTCCCAACATGCTACACTGGCAGCTTTCGCGGCTGTGTATGTCTCTGTGAGTAATTGATGCCGTGTTAATTGCCTTGAAACACAAGGAGTGTCTACCTAAAAGACTAGTTTCTAAAAGCAATTATTATGTAAAAATAATTTTGTTGTCTACTGCCTTAAGAACAGCAGCCTGTTCTTAAATGAATGACAGCTATTCTCTTCTGTGACACGCATATAGCCAACAGTGCACGTTTTAAAGATAGATAGCAGCATACTTAAAATTGTCGCAAAATGCAATTCCATTTTTTACAGCATTTGAAATGTTTATACTAGAAAATTAAAAGAAGGAGTAACAAATAAAGAGAATGATATGTGTTAAAGATCTTCATATGTCTTAAATACACCTGTAATTAAGTGATATTTTAGATTGAGCCTCGTCAGTACTGGGATAGGAAACAAAGTTCCTGCTATAAGTGTTGTTGGTGGACCAGTACTGGTACTCTGGTTCCCTCTGGACCACAATTTCCAAAACCAAAGCCTCATTATAGAGACAAGTATCAGTGTGATGTAGTTGTTCTTCTTTCAGATGAGATGTTAATCTAGGAGGCTGACTATTTGAACAGCAGTGTTAACATCTGTGTCCCACCCAGATTCAACTTTGGATTTGAACAGTTTCACCTACCTAAAGTTGCTCCTAAAGTTGCTCCTTAATTCAATCTGTGAAATTTCTCCACGTGATCTTCAGTACTATGGTATGGTGAGGTTGCTGGTAGACAGTTGTTTTGCTTGCTATGTACAAATGCAGTGAATCTTAAGTAATGAAAATATTTCCTTTGACAATTATTGGAAAAATGTTTGAGGATTACTTGATGTTGTTACATTCTAAAGTGACATCTGTTTATAAAGAATTCACAAAGAAGGCAAGAAAAAGTAGGAATGTAGTATGAAATACACTGTCGAAAGGTTTTGTGGAACAACCTAATCAGACACAGTAAAAATGATAAAACGCAATACGTTTTTTATTTCTCAATGTTGTTTTTCAGATGTATTTTAATGCCACATTGACAGACTCTTCTAAACTTCTGAAACCGCTGTTGGTTTTCTCCTTCATCATTTGTGCCATTATTTGTGGGTTGACGCGTATCATTCAGTATAAGAACCACCCTATTGATGTCTACTGTGGCTTCCTCATCGGTGGAGGTATAGCTGTATATTTAGTAAGTAATCAAAATCAAGACTTTTTTTGCAGACTACTTTTTACCTGTACTTGGTACTAAGATTGCAAATATTTACCTATGGTAATCTACTTAATAAACCTTAAATTTGTTCATTATGTACTATTGGTAAATCCTGTTCATATACTGTAATAGAACTCTGAACTCTGAGACTCCTATACTCGAAACTGTAGATGAGGTAACATCCCCATAGTTTCCTTTAGGGATTTAAGTATCTAAGTGTTTTGGATATGGGGCCTTAATTGTACCATAATCCATGTCTTTAGTTATGAAGTTAAGAAAGTTTCAATTAGATAAATTACAACACAGTGTTTCCCCTTTTTACAAGTAGTAGCACTTTCACACAAAGGGCCTGACTCAGAACAACTCTAAACACTGCTTTCTTCCATCTTATGCTTGAATTAACTTCATGCAGTATTTCAGTAGTTCATGTCAGATAACTCTTAATGGTATTCAGTCTCAGTGAAATACAGTGGAGAAGAGTACGTGGAGGGAATGATCCTTCTCATTCTCAATTAAATCATCTGAACTCAACTTTTGGTGTGCACACTGCAATACAGCAGGATATCTCTGAACTCTGAATTCTTTCTGGCTATAGGTATTTTATTCCTTTTAAAATAGCTGAAGTCACAAGCATTCTTCCATAAGGCTCGTGTGACTTTAAATGTAAAATGATTAGTTGGTTGAAGATAAGCAGTAATTGCGTGGGCTTTATCATGCCACATCTCCTTGAGTTAAATGTGGGATTTCTTTTAAATCAGCATTTGTTTGTTTTTAATTCAGGAGGAAAATAAAAAACAAAAACAACACAGCACACCACCTCTCACTCTCCTCCCACTTTTCCACCATCCCTGCCCATGTGGCCACCCACCTCCATCCCAAAACTATAGAGAAACCCAAATATTTTCCATGGCAGCACATACAGTAGGGGTGGGCTTAACAGAACTTTGGTGTTGTCCACCTCTGAACCACGCAGCTGGTCAGTCCCCTGTCTTTAGCCATGTAGGGTGGCAAGGAGTCAAAGTGCATCTCAGTGAAGGTTTGAGATGAGTAATTATGACGAAAACAGCCATTTCCAGAGAACACTGGAGAAGACACACACCAGGTGTATTTCCCACAGTACCGCGAATTACAACTGTATTACAGAGGGATTTATAGTCCAGCCATTGTTACCCTATTACCATGAATGGAGGTTTATGAGTGGCCATTCTACTTGTGGCCCAGTGGCTATTCCTGATGTTATCCCCACCTTTCTACTATTCGTGAACTATCACGTACAATAGCAGGTGTCTGTTTTAAATTCACTCGAGCCAGGTCAGGAGGAATTGCCCCAGGCCAAAGTCCGATTTCTAGAGTTGGAGCAATGCAATGTAAAACTCCGTATGAGCAACATCAAGAGAAGAAAGGATCCACTGGCACCAGGGGAGGGAATGTAACTGCCACCACTGAGTGACCAATCTTTTTAGCAGCAGTGCTGCCAACCAGCCAGATCTGCCTTTGCTGTAGAGATAAATCAAGCGATGATTCACCATTCAACAAAGAGATCAACAGAGAACCAGAGGCTTTGTTTCCTGAGAACAGTCAGCCAAGTTGAACAAACCTGCCCCCAGAACTCAGCCTTATTATTCTTAACATGCTCACATCTTTAGAAAAGAGGGTGTCAGTTGCACCCCGGGGGTACAAAGCACCCTTCAGGGTGCCACTGAATGATAATGAATACGCTTTTAAAATCTCTTGAAACCGCTGTATTGTTGCATGCATCCTTGAAGAACACAGGCATTATAATGAAGCCAGGGGCTTTGAATAAGGTTTTAGATATTTAAAAAAGTGCAATATTTTATAATGAAGTGACATGTACAGTACACTTTAATAACTGATTATACAAATTATTTCTAATTGAAAAAATAAATATGCCACAACTTACATATAGTTAAAATCATTATCTTGAATTAATTTTGCTATTACATAATTTACATTGAAAATTATATACAGTATATATATGTTTGACCATGTTTGTTATAACAAATATCTTTAACCTTTACAAACAATGGAACTTGAAGGAATACACTCATTTATACACCCACACACATACATATTCACACAAGAATTCTGTTCTGTAATGCCTTTGGCGGTATTCATCACTCATTAATGCCATGACAGTAATAAAGACTGACAACTGTGTTTTCACTGACCCTGCAAGATTCAGATTTAATTCACTAGTGACATAGTCACATTATGTTTAGTGACATAAAGGACAAAATCACAATAAGAATTTTACTACTTTTGGTGAAGACTCAAGTGTAATTATTCTATAGTAAGAACAGTTACAAATGTGACAAGGCCATTCGCCCATCTAGCCAGAGTGGTACCAGAAATCCAAACGGTTTTTGTCTTTGTTTGCTTCTGCTGAGTTTGTTGATCTTAGTTATTTAATCTACAGTTTTTAAAGAAAAAAAGATTTACAACTGTAGTGCAAAAGAAGAAGACAAAATCGTAGGTATAAAAGCATGTTGCTCATGTGTGGTCTTCTGAAGAAGCTGTGATGGGTTTTTTTTATTTTTGGTTTTCAGGGACTCTACGCTGTAGGCAACTTCCAGTCTAGTGAAGATAATACAAGCCAACAGGCACATCACAGAGAACCTCTGAGGTCTCTCACAGACCTCAGCCAGGACACAAGCAGACACCTACAAGGCAAGAACGGGAGCAGCAGCGATGGTATCTCCTCCCACCATTCCGAGAGCATCCTGAACCGCAACCACAGAGAGTCCAGCTCCCTCACCAACCTCAAGAGAGCCAGCGCCGACGTAGAGATCATAACCCCCCGCAGCCCAATGGGCAAAGAGAATATGGTGACCTTCAGCAACACCCTCCCCAGGGTGAACACACCTGCTCTGGAGGAGGCTGCAAGAAGAAATGCCTCCATCCATGCGTCCATGGATTCGGCACGGTCGAAGCAGCTGCTCTCCCAGTGGAAAAATAAGAACGAGAGCCGCAAACTGTCCTTGCAGGTCATGGAAACCGAAGCAGGGCATTCTCCTCAGAGGTCCATAGAAATGAGGTCAAGCTCAGAGCCAGCAAGAGTAGGTGTCAACGGAGAACACCAAGGTCCAGCAGGTCAGTACTTGAAACTTGCAGCCGGCACAACCCCCTTGCCTAATAACAGCAGCGGTATAGCTGGCGGGGCTAGAGTGTCTATCCAGTCACGCCCTGGTTCTTCACAACTGGTTCATATTCCAGAGGAAACACAGGAGAATGTCAGCACATCTCCCAAAACCAGTTCAGCAAGGTCAAAATGGCTGAAGGTTGCAGAAAAGAGTGGAGCTTGCAGAACTAACAACCAGCCTAGGATAATGCAGGTTATTGCTATGTCAAAGCAACAGGGAATGCTGCAGAGCAGTCCTAAGAGCTCAGATGGCAGTACTGTCAGTTGCACAGGAGCAATCAGGTACAAAACGCTGACAGACCAGGAACCTAGTAATATAGTCAGAGTGGAGGCTCACCCGGAAAACAACAGGCCAGTCGTTCAGCCTCCATCAAATGATGGAACCGGTTCGTGGAAATGGAAATCACAGGAAAAAGGCAGCATCCGTCAGTCTTACGAGCTTAACGACCTGAACAGGGACTCAGAGAGCTGCGAGTCCCTGAAAGATGGCTACAGTTCAGCTGACAGAAAAAGAAGCAACCCAGACAGCAGCAGTGAGCACCACCATCACCATCATGGGATAACTACCATAAGAGTGACACCAGTAGACGGGAGTGAGGCAGCCTCCGAGACTTTGTCTATAGCCTCAAGTCGTGACTCTACACTCAGGAGGAAAGGTAACATCATCCTGATTCCTGAAAGAGGCAATAGCCCAGAAAACACCAGGAACATCTTTTACAAAGGGACGTCACCAACACGGGCTTTCAAGGAGTGAGGTATTCTAATGTGTGGCCTTGTTCAGTGGATTTACATTGAAAGATGTGAATGAAGCTTGCACTTGGGTTTCTTGCTGTCATTCAGTCGTTTTCTGTATAGGCTAGTCCATTGCTCGTTGCCCTAACTGGAAACGTACTGCTTTTTTCCCCAAAATAAAAAGCTATATTGTGCATGATATTTACAGTTTTGTATAGACAAGAAAGCACAAAGCCCAGTGTATAGGTAATACATTTGATGTATATTTCATTATAATCTTCATTCTTCACAGTTTCAAATCTGACACTCATTCTGATCTCTGGCTATATTTAAAATGTTCCAATTTTTTAAAAATAAATCACTGATTAACTTTTACATTCAGAAAATCTTCTGCTTTCAGACAGAATTCAGTTATTTCTTACTTTACACCATTTGCTTTCTTAAACACCACAGTGTTATTGCTTATTGCACTTAAAATAATCACCGCAGGATGTGCTTCTAAAAGATCTTCTTATCATAAATATTAAAACAAATTTCTATATTTTTTCCAGTGTACATATTTGTGCTATAATATGGGTGCTATACCACCATCTTACTCAGATTCTGTCACAGCTGAAATTCATATAATGAAAACAAAAAAACATTTATTTAAACTTATTCTCAAACACCTATAACAGGGGATTATTTAAGTTTGCATTTGCCAGTAATTAATGAAAGAAACTGATGTCTCAGATTGGTTTTTATTTTGTGATGAATATTTTGGCTTTGTGCAGATCTTGAATACACAATTACAGACATTTGCTGCCTTGGGAATGCAGCGTTGAAACCAATATGTGCACATCATGATTAATTATGAAATTCTTATACAAACACAACAAAGTGCTCTTTTTTGGCAACATAATTTACTGTAGGGATGAGTATCATGGACTCTTTTGTCTTAAAGTCTGCTTATGAAGCTGGTAAAACTACTGTTTTTAATATAAACATGTTTTAGATTGTGCTAAGTCAGTTGTATTTTTTATAGAATTCACTCAGATTTTCTTTTTTTCACCTCTAAAGAAGAAACAATGTAATATTATTTTTCTTCAAACAAACCCTTCAAATAGCTTCCCTGGAAAACCACTCTCTCTTTTTTCTCTCTATTTTAGCTGAATTCCCAAATCATTAGCATCACTTTGCATCAGAGTCTAGTCATTCTGCATTACTATAAGTGGAAAAGAATGTGTAACTGTGTAAACTCTGTGCAAAATATATGATCCCTCTTAATACTTCATTTCTCATCAGTAGTATTTGTGAAGTGAATAAAATTCAGTCACATACAGTAAGTACCATATAAAAGTATTAAAATTCTTAGAAAAGATTGGTTATTATAAAACTGCTTTATGGCATTCTTCTGCTTCTTTTTACACCATGCACAGTGATGAGCTGTTCATAAACATTTAGAAGTCCAGCAGGCACTATAGAGTAAAGTGGTGATTTGTTAGCAGCTAAAATAATAAGGTGACTTTGTATTATGTGTGTGAGAATCTTTTTCTTAAATATAGTTACAAGCAGCATAGACTAATGGATAGAAGGCTCTAAGAAAACAGGGTTAATTATAGACCAGATATCACAAATATAAATACAGGTAGTGAAATTATCTGTATCAACATTTTTTTCTTTTTAGTATAAAACCCACGACTAAGTTTCATTCTTATTCTCTCTCACAAATTAATAGAAAATAAAAGCACGAATTCTACCAACTACAGTATACTGTAATTTTCAACATTTAAATATCAGCAGTATTAGAGTTTACACTAAAATTTCACGGACATCTTAGTGTTTTTGCTTTAATAATATTTTGCTGTCATCTAGACACCTTAAAATATTAAAAATAATCAAGGCTCAAGGAATGTATTCTGCTAATTTCAATTTATTTGTGTTAAACTATTGAACGTCAAATAAATAACCTTATAGAAATCTATAAATTCAGTTGGGAACTCTCTATAGTATTTTTGTGATTAAATATGACAAGTATCACTATTATATCATTATTTTTAATATACTATATATGTGCCAAAGGGTAACAATATCTTTTGTTATTTTGTAATATGCCTGTAATCTGGTATATTATTTTATTTAAGCAGTTGTAACATCAGCATGGTCATTTGATATTTAACAGAAGGCTTTTTTGTAAATTATGCCATTATTTGGCATTGACTTGTACCTTAATTTTTACTTACTATTGAATTAATTGCTCAAATATTTCATCTTTGTACCACTGTAAATAAATATTTGTAACTTGCCAAAAAAGCAAACAAACATGTATCTTAGCATTATGTAGAAATGATGACATAAAATGAAACCTTGGACATGCATTATGTGAGGTGTATGCATTTAAATTGGAAGATACATGGAAATTTGTACATAGTGTAGGACAATGTTATGCAATGTTTTGCCAGTGAACATCTGTATAATGTTAACTTCTGTTGGTCGGTATGTGAATCAATCAATGCCTTTGTAAGTAAGCACTGTAGCGTGTACAACACAATCTTGTGAAACTCTCCAGGTTGTGAACAGGCCGTCTAGCCCTGTATAAAGTTTAAAATACAGCTTATATTTAATTGAAGACCTGACTGGGTTTATAAAAGAAAATTGTGCATTGTCTGAATATTGAAATAAATGTTTGCTACTAAACCAAAGAGTGTTCCTTCTTTTTCATTGTAGTATGGCCATGAATTATTTTTAATCTGTGTAAACAGGTAAGAAAGGTTCAAAATAACAGGAGGCCATTGAGCCCATATACGGTAGCCTATCTGGTAGTTAGTAGTTAATTAATCCTCATTTTTTTTAAAGATACCAGACCATCAGCTTCACCAACATGGCTGAGTTGCTTGTTACAGACTCCCACAACCCTGTGAGTAAAGAAGTGCCTCCCGTTCTTTGTTTTAAACATTTACATTTAAATGACCAGAACCAATAAATATTATGCATTATTACTGTATCAGTATTGGTTACATTTCACTATATCTTTAAAATACAGATGAACAAACTGTGATAATGCACAGCAGAGAATTGAATGAATATCCACAAAGGGATTTTAATGTTGTTACATACAGATACGTTATATCCATTAAACTACCAGGGCATCAGTGTTCGGCTTCTAAAATTTGTAAATGTGAGGTCCTGGGTGGGACACTGCCCTGCTGGGACACTGTACCTTTGAGCAAGGCAATTCACTTGACTTGTTATACTCAGGGTACTAACCCCAAAAATAGTAAAACATTCAGCTGTATGAAAATGTAAATTGCTTTAGATTAAAGTGTCTGCAAATCAAATTAATAAGGTGATGTGCTGTACCACTTTTCTTTCACAAACCAAAATTTTAAATTAAATAGCCTTATAGATGAAATAGTTAAAATTAGATCAGTGCAACCAATAGTATAAAAGAATAGGTAAAGGTTTCTTCCATGCTAGAAGGTAACACAATGTTTCGGTTGTGGACCCTTCTTAATTTGTGAGAGATTGAGGGAAAGTGGTAGATAAATAAGGCAGAGGAGAACAAAGACAGAGTAGGCAAGGAAGGGGGGAAATGGGCATGAAGCAGGTGAGAATGAGTGTCCAACCTCAGGGAGAACAGGAGGACAGGTGTGGAAAGCTCACATCTGCAAATGAATGGAGAGCATTTAGAAGGAGATGAGTCTGTCATTAGGAGAACTGGGAAGGTGTAATCCAAATTTAAGGATAATTTTAGGCGTCTCTGCAATATTGGTTCTGAAACACTATCTGTGAGGAATGCAGATGGAGAGATCAGAAAGATGGTGGCCATTAGAGGTGACACAGGGAACTATCGGTTTGGAGAGATCTTTGATCCTCACAGCTCTGACATGTTCCCTGAAATGACATGCTAGTCTTCGTCCTGTCACACCATTGTAAATGGTTGGGCATTTTCTGCATGAGATGCAGTAAACAAGATTGCAGGTTATACATGATGTCATCTGAGTGACAGAGCATTGTCCAGAGGGGCCTTGAATGTGCCTTATTTATCTGCTACTTTACCTCTCTCCCTCACATCTGAAGAAGACTCCATGGCCAAAATGTTTATTTTCCTTTCAGCATGGGATGAATCTTTACCTGTTCCTTTACAGCCTACGCATGCTGACGTAACTACCTACTCGAATGTCTTGAATATTGTAATATTCATTTTTGCTTGCTTGACATAATAGTTATGTAACTTTCAGGTCTTATTCAGTTCACAGGTTTCTTTCTTATTCAGCTGAATGCTATTACAATTTTTAGACAACTGTAAAGCAGTAAAATGCAGAATGTTTAAAGCTATAACCACATTATCGCTAATTGTTTATACCGCATTACGATTGTTCTGTGCCAAGTTTAATGTTGCTGTTTTAATTACACACACAAATAAATAAATGTGAGAAAAACTGGGTCTCGTTAGCATTGCCATGTGCAATTATCATCATGAGGTCTAAAGTAGGTCAAAGGATTGACCTACATTGTGAGAGAGCACTTACAGCTAAAACACTTTTCTGAAGGCTGAAAGAAAAACAAGTGCATTCAAGACAGAGAGCAATGACAGTGTGGACTGCAAAGGCCATTTTCACAATCCACACACCACGTTCATACTGAGTCCTTCAGTAGAATGTGCACCAAGTTTACATACAACATATTATGAATGCCTGTGGCGATTGTTTTCAGATTTACATTTAGGAAATTAGTTAGGAACCTGCTATATTTTTGCTTCAAAGCAATTGGCATTAAAGAAGAACATTTCAACAGCTGTGGTCAGGACTTCTGAAATGCATGATATAAAACCTTGACACATGCCTTCTTCATTGTACAGTACAGTATCAATTCCAATATCACGTGCTGTAATGTATTATCTTAAACACATTGCAACAAAAATATGGAATCCTTCTTTAATCAGGATTTGTACTGTATGTCTATCAATACCAAGTGATAGGTGATACATATAATGAATAATAAAAAATGTAAAGTAATTATGGAATTACACATCTTCAGTTTGACTTGTGTTTGTTTGTGTCCCACAAATACAATTTTTAAACCTGGAGCCGATGCAGATGATCAATAGACTGTGATTTTGGACATTAGGATTATTATTACAGATTGTTGAAAGGTATATGTTAACTAACCATTCAAGGGTTGCATGACTTCTCTGGATACACAAGAGGATGAACTATATATATTTACAGCAAAGAAAAAATAAACTTAAATAAGAATAACTTTTTTTAACTTTTTCAATAACTGTCAAATTAGTTTTACCTTTTTCAATAACTGCCAAAATCCATGGTACTGGATTCAATGTGGCGATTTTAAATGCACCAGCATTAATTATCATTAATCCCTAAAAATTGAACATCTGTGTTTCTTTTTATTACAAGCATTCAGCTTCAAAACAAAGAATGCAGTTGCTGCAGGTGTAAATTAGAAATTGAATAGGTGTACTAGCAAGATTGTAACAGGAGCTGCATGCTAATGTAATATAATCGTGAGAGTGCTTTGTCTGTTGCTTCAGCAATGTAACAGAATCATAAGGTAAAAGGCTGCAGTTCTTTTAGAAACCTGGTTCTTTAATTATAGTTAAGAAATTGTAATTTGTTAGTTTAGCCTCAGTGGCAGATAATAAAGTGCTATGTTTGCTCATAAAATGTCATACAATTCTCATTCACAAACAGTACTTTTTTATTCTTCTGTGGCAACTCAGCGGGAGGTGGAATATTACAGTACACACAATGGGTGGTGCACAAGATGTGTTATCTACTCATTTTAATATTGTTGGTTCTGTGAAAATAATTTGCTTTTCAATTTCATTTAAACCGCCAAGGAAAGAATCACACAGCAACATAATCTAGGACAGTAACCAATACACCCTTAAATAATTTGGTAGGATCCAGTCCTTGATGAATCTAGTATCTGGTAGCTAGAATGTGTACTTCTAAATAATAGATTGCAGAAAGTTAAATAATTTAGATTAACTCATCATCTCAATGCAACAAATTGACAGTAAATGCAGCAGTTGGCATTGATAAGTTATTTTTGATCTTTAAGCTCAAATTAATAATTGGGTGCTTAGTAGTGATAAAAACCAAAAGAGCACATTAGTCTCTAAGATCAGGACTAAGAGACCCCTCACATTTAGAGAAAGGCTCCCTAGTCTTGGCTCTAAGGATTTCTCCCAGTGGAGATTTCAGCCACTTATTGAAAACGTAATTGGTTTTCCTAATATTTTGCTTAGTTAAATAATAAATAATTATTTACATTTAAATAATTTAGTCTTCCTAATCCCTACACATGAAATAAAAATAAAATGGCTGTAAATATTCTTTATCACTCTAATGCAACCTAACATCTCTTTTGGAACCAATGTCAACGTTTTATTGGGCATGAATAACATACTGTAAATTATCAAGCCTTTTTACTTCCTTTTGTCCAACTTTCATTTTGGTGGAGAGATCTTTAGCCCTGGTCCCAGTGAATCACTGTGCCTTATACCTTCCATGAGCTCTGAAATAATTTAAATGGACATCTTTCTACTTAAGTAGAACGTGTTAAAACATTTCCTGTGTTTCCACTAATGAGCATCAAGAGTGGGTGGCTCACATGGTTTTTGGATTTGTGTTGATGCTACCAAGTCCCCATCAACTATTCCACTGTATTACCTTCCTGTGAGCGGCTCTGATGTTTCTCTCATTTATCATCTACCTGTAAAACTGTTTTTCTGCAGGATATGGGTAATAGTTTGCTGTTCATGAGCACCAGGCTAAACCAATAATTAATTTGTTTATAACAAAATATTTAATTCCAGTCTGGATTTAAATAGCCTTTTTTAATCACTGTCTTATTGAGTCAAAAGTAGCAGAAATTTTAACCTAGGCAGGAAAAAGATGTTATTTGTTCCCTTTCTGAAAGTAAAAGTAAATGTTTTATATGGATGGAAAATCCCAATCTGGTGATCTTCATAGATAGACCTTCACAATATTCAAAACCCTCCTCTTGCTGTTAAATTTTAAATCTCCTTTTCACTACTTATTGTAGATCCACATGTTATTAAAAACACTTTGTCTCCAGCCATTGCAAGGTTAACACAAGTGTCAAGGTTTAAATGTATAAGATGACCTTAAGAGTGCTCAATAGGTGGAATTTATTGCCAGTGTCACAGTATATTTTTTGCTGTGTACATCATTTCCTTGCTGCAGTGGGAATAATAAATATGAATTGCCTATTACCAGAAACTTTATGAAGAGAACTTCAAGTGCCATTTGTATTTAAAGGTTAAAACATAATTCCATGTACTTGGCCTGAGAATATGCATTAAATCAAAATGAAAGTAAACTAAGGAACCAGCATGATGGTAGTCAGTGAACATACTGTACTGTAGGACTAATTTCTTTCCAAGTTCTAATATTTTCTGTCATTCCTGGCAGATGAACTTTAACAAAATAATGTTTAACAATTACATAACACTAGGCAAATTGCTAACTTTGCCAAGTCTCTAATTTGAGATCATTTGGAACTTAGTTTTAATCTAGTGCATTGTAACCTCTCCTCTAAAAAAATGTTTTGAGTTGTGACTAAATCTCCTGGCAAGAAGTTCAAGAGTGGTGTTAAAAGTAAAAACATATAGACCAGCCGTAAGAATAGTGTAAAAAAGTGTACT